ACAGTGAAAAATAAAATATTGATTTAAAACTGAATTTAGAAATACAGTCTTAGGAGGCATTCCATAGGGGACAATAACAACATAGGACTATGAGCCAGACCCTTGGAATTAGTTCACACTCTTAGGAGTATAAATGTTGTCGTGGGCATGTAGCCGAATTTCATTCCTAGGAAAAGCATGCTGAATGAAAAATTTAGCAAATGTGGAAAAAATGTTAACAATTGTTGAATGTCAATGGGGGGAATACAAGTTTTAATTCTACAATTTTTAAACCATGGGTCCTTGTATTTTGCAAAGTAAAAACTCACAAGGATAGATGGAAACAATTTAAAGACTCTCCCAATTGTGCTGATTTTAAATGCGGCTTCATGTTAGGTAGTTTCTGATGATCCACACCAGTAGACAAATATTAAAGGATCAATATTCGCATCTAAATTGAAGAATTTTCAATGAAGACATACAGATGGCCAACCACACGGGAAAAGACGCTTAATATCACCGATCATCAGAGAAATGCCAATTAAAACCACCATGAGCTATCATCTCACACTTGTCAGAAGGGCTGTTATCTAAGAGATCAGCAGGACCAAGTGCTGGAGAGAATGTGGAGGGCAAGGAACCCTCGTACACGGTTGGTGAGATAGCAAACTGGTGCAGCCACTGTGGAAAACAGTAAGAACAATCCTCACAAAAATGAAGAATGGGGCTACCCTTCGATCCAGCGATCCCAGTTCTGGGTATCTATCAGAAGAAAAGAAAGCACTACAAGATGCGTGCATCCCTATGTTCACCGCAGCCTTATTTACAAGTGCCAACATATGGGGGGGTCAAGATATAGTGTATGTAACAGAATATTACTCAGAAATGGAAAGGGCTGAAATCTTGCCACTGTGACAACATGAATGAACCCAGAGGGTAGCGTGCTGAGTGCAGTAAGTCAGAGACAGACAAAGACTGTGTGATTTCACATCTACGTAGAATCTGAAGACATGAAACAAACAAACACACAAAACACTAACGGACCCGTAGATACAAAGAAAATAACTGGTGGTTGCCAGAGAGAAGAGAGTGGGGGAAGGGTGGAAAAGGTGAAGGGAAATTAGAGGTAGGAACTTCCCTTTATGTAATAAATAAGTCCAGGGAATACAATGTATAGTACAAGAGAGGAATCCATCACACCATAGTAACTGTCAGTGACGGATGCCGACTCGACTTACTGTGGTGATCGCATCATCAGGTGTAGAAATATCGAGTCATGCCGCACACCTGAAACTAACATCATAACTGTACTGCAATCAAAAATGAAAATAACACTGGAGAACTTTCAACGTTTCGGTGTTTTACTTTAAAAGATAGGATGTCAACGCATTATGTTCTTACGTAGGTTGTAAGGCTGGAGTTTAAAATGATGGCCACGTGGGCGTTACAGGGGAAATGAAGAAATTATTCAGCAGGAAAAGCTCACACCTCGCCATTTGGTGAAAGTCAAGCCTTGCACACACATATGTTATTCAGAAACAGCTGAGATCACTTCCAATATTTATGTTGCTTGGAAATATTTTTCCACTCTCTTTTTTGGGTCGGAAAAAGTCAGGCATTAGAAAGTCTGGTATCACAGTGAAAAATAGCCAGTGGCTGAGTTGAGGAATAACCTTTGTTTTTCAGTAATTTATTTCTCTAGGATACGTGTGTGTGTGTATCTTAAACAATATTGTTTTCATAATGGTACGCATAACCATTCACTAACAGAAAAATATGCTGAGTCAATATTGTCAATGATTAACGTTAAAACGTATTTACTTTTGCCTATACTTTTAACTTTATTGCAATTGATTTTTTTTTTATTACCCAAACTAACTCCTACTATTCTAGAATAATGATTCATTCCTCCTGGCTTGTTTTAGTCATGAAATCAGGAGTGTTTCATTTAGTCAACACTTTACTATTCTTTCGTTCATTCATGAGTTATAACTCAAATTCTGTTACCTATGAAATACTTGTTCAAAGCATGGAAAATAAAATCCAGGGAACATTGACACTCATTTCCAAATTGATTTTCACTTTCTTGCCTCCTACTTGTGGGTGGAAATTTACCAATTTGATTTTTACATCTTCTGACATCTGGTAAAATGAAAGGGGAGGTTTTTCAGAGGACCTTGTAGTGAAAAGAAAATTTGTTGATAAAGCAAAGAGAATTAAATATTCGCAGACGACAGCACTTTATTTAGGGGCTGAGACTAGACTGTTAACCTAAATTGAGCAATTAATTTATTCACATACTACATATTCATCTCCCACTGATTTTTTTTTTTTAGTAATTTCATCCGACTAGGAGACAAACAGCAAACTTCTTTCAGATTCAACTGACTGGAGAGGGCAGTGCTTTTGCCAAGTAAGGCTTTTCTTTAAAGGAGTTATTTTACTAGTAAAGTAGATGTTTTTCCTTTACTGTTTTACTTTGTGTGGTTTTGGGGGGGGGGTTTAAATGAATTTTGGAATGTAAAGTTAAGAAAGAAATACGAGCTTGCTTTTATTTTGATTAAATTTGGCACTACGAAAACATATAACACTGAAAACACGTGAAAACTGAACTATCGCATTTTGCATTTTTGATCGGGGTTTTGGAACTGAACGGAGACGATTTATGAATGGCTCGGCAATGTGGAGGCATCGTCTTTTTTCCAGGTGATTTCTCAGCAGCTAGTTGGCCTTGGAAAAGCTAGTCCCACACGGATGTGACAAAGAACACAAGCTGTTCCCAAACCTGTTTTATCATAGTCACAGTGTGGAACCCTGCCACCAACTCTCCTTCTATTACAGCGCCAATCGCCACATCTTAAAAAATAAGTGTATTCATACAAATATTTCTCACTGACAAAGAGATTTAACCTAACCAAAGCTATATTACCATTCAACTTTTGATCTACAGAGATTGACAAAAATAAGGCGACAGAAAGAATCCTTTACAAAGAGTGGCATTGTCCAGGACAGTGGGCATCGACATACGAAAGAAAATGAGCGAGTGAGGCTGACATTGGCGGTATGAAGACGTAGCTGCCCACTACTGGACATGAACAATGACTCCTGCTGCTAGTGCACCGGGCTGTGTGCACAGCTGTGAGCTCACAGATGTTGTGACCACCCAGGAAGAGGGAAGGAAGTGTTTGTAAACAGTAAGTGAAATGTGAGCATCGTGTGGACAAGGGCTGCGTCACTGCGGCAGCCTCGGATATGTGGGCGGTGCCACCTATAGGACCGGATGGGTTGGATGCAAGTGATGGAAAAGTGATGGAAGACTGATTCATGGGTGTTGCAGGGAGTGGGGGAGAAACAGACTCAAGGTTAGGGAAAGTCAGCTATTTCTGGGTGTCTTCATTTCGGAACCCTAACAGGAGGTATTGACTTACGCAGTTAGAGACACGAGACTGAGCTCATGGTGGGAGACGAGCTCACTGAGGAAGGCATTTAGTTTTGGAAACCAGATAAATGGATGAGCTCCCTTAAGGAGAGGGAAAATAGGCTGCAGCAGAGACTCTACTACGTGGACAGTGGCATTGTTTTTCTCACAATCCAGAGCTCGTTTCTTCTATTTATTTGTGTAGCCTCACTGCATTCCGTAGGGTTTCCAGAAAAACGCTGAGTAAAAACGGTCTCGGTGGGCACCCTAATCATAAAGACTTACACCTGAGCCTTTTAGATAAAAAACTGGCATTCCCCTGAATGCTAATTACATGTATAATAGGAAATAGATGGAATACTTTGATTTCACAAAACCTTCCAAAAAGGCGGTACTATTATTTTTAATTTTCAGTTGAGGAAACAAAGAAACCTTGGCACCAGCTCTAACGATTTAAAACAGAACTTCCTAAATTAGTGCGTAAAAAAAAAAATCTTCCAAAGAGATTTTAAAATGCAGCCAAAGTCGAGCACCGTCGCTTCAAGCTGCATGCTACGCATTTTTTAGGAAAAAACGATGTCATTACTCATAAATCTCAAAGATAAAAAAAACAGAGCAACTTCACTAGCAAGAATTTGATTGTTTTCTCTTTGGCCTTTAAAAGTGTTTATCATTTTTAATTTAAATGTCATATATGGCCAGCATTTTAAGATACATGAAAACCTGTTCTGAAGGAAATACGCTTTGCTAGCACAGTTAAAATGGTTCACACTGGAATGACTTTCGAAGCTTTAGACTCTTCAGGTAAAATATAATATAAAAACAACAAGGTACAGACTCACAGATACAGAGAACAGACTGACAGCTGTCAGAGGGTAAGGGGCCGGATGAAAAAGTGCAGGGATTAAGAAAAAAAAAACAACATACCTTATAGACATAGACAGAGACAGCAGCATGGTGTCTACCAGAGGGGGTGGGGCAGGGGGAGACAGAAGAGGGTAAAGGCGGGATAAATGGTGATGAAAGATGATTTGACTCGGGGTGGCGAACACACAATACAATGTGCAGAGGATATGTTACAGAACTGTACCCCTGAAACCGATATAATTGTATTAACCTATGCCGCCCCAATAAATTCAATACAGATTTTTAGAAAAGAAAATAATATAATAATTAATAAATAACACACTGGTTAATAAAGAATACAAGAATAAAAAAAGAAAAAGGTACATTACTGCCTTGATCAAAATTAGTTGCTACAGAAGCATTGAAAAAAAATACCACCTTACTGTTTAAGTTTCTAACTAATTAATTAAGTTCCTAATTAACAGATATAATATTATGGCCTGTGTCTATAATATGTACAAACTATCACTGCTAATCTATTAAGGTTTAATGAGTCACCGGTAACCACAGTTGCTAAAATCACCAAATTAAAAAACAAAGTAAAAACTCCCCGCAACACATCATCGTCGTGGCATTTTAAAGTGAATACATTCTTTCAAATAAAGCAGATGATAACGAAAGGAAACCCTTCTGTTCCGCTAACTTCGGAGACGTGGTCTGAGAATATTCGAAGGGTGCCATCTGAGACGAAACTCACCAGCAAACTTGATGTGGAATTTGTTCTCAGGCTTCAATATCTGGACGTACAAAGGGCAATTCGGAGCGAAATCCTTGACAGCCCACGCTCTCAGAATTGTTTGGTGGTCCTGAAACGACAGAAGTTGAAATATCATGAAATAAGTTGGAAAGTGCGTAACACAGTCAGGTGCTGCATAAAGACATTTCAGTCAACGACGGACCCCATGTATGAGGTGGTCCCATAAGGTTACAACAGAGCTGACTGTCCCTCTCATGTAGTGGCATCCTGGCCTTCATAACATTTTAGGGAAAGGGTGCAAAGGTCAGTGAGGCTGTGGTCCAAATGACCTTTCATCTGGGTCGTGCATGAGACACGAGCAGCCGCTGAATGAGGAGCTGCTGAGGTTGCTCAGGTCTCAGAAGGATACCGAAAAGCATATCCGCGAACCTCATGTATATTTGAAGGTAAACGAATTAAAGTGTGTAAACTTTATCTGAATATGTCCACAACAAATCAACAGGGGATAGAAGAGCACGTGCAATAAACAGTGATCAAAAAGATGTCCTGACTGGGAATAGATATCGATAATGTACATCTGATTTTGAAATTTTGGGGGTTGGGGGGAAGGAAAAAGAAGGCATAGCCAAATTGATCACTGGGTCTTCGGTGAACAGGGTGTAGGTAGTAACAACATTCTAAGTGTGTGTTGGGTTCAACAATGAGGGTCAATCAAGCGATAATGGCAGAAGACTTAGTTTTGGTTACAGGACTGAAGATAAATAGTATCAGCCACTAAATACAAAAAAATGAAAGTGCAAGAGACCAAATTTAGATCATGAAAATTTGGAAATGAAAACTAAAGGCAAGAACAGGGAAACCAAGTCCACTGTGTTACAAAGCAGAGATACAAACTACAGTATCTACTGTGTAATGAGTGTGAATGAAGGAAATATATTCTTGTAAAGGATAAAGTAAGAATGGGAAGTAGTAGAACAGACAGTGGACTCCTAAAACCCTACGCATAAGTTATTGTCCTTGTAATTTCCAAGAGTGGAACCACTGTCATTTAAAAAAAAAAATGTGTGACCACTTGAACGGTAAGCTGTGACAGCCATCGGGAGCAGTTTGGTACAAAGGAAGACGTGTGGGAGTTGACCTGGCTGGATTCCAGACCCTGCCAGTCTGGGAAATGTTATTATTAACTCTGAGCCTGGGTTCTCTCTCCGCAAAACAATTATGGTGCCTACGAAGTGATTTATGGGCCCAAATTGCCCAGCCATTTGAAAGCTTCTCACGGAATGTCAAACCTGATTAGTTCTTGGTTTGTTTCAACAAATGGACTTGAAAATTGAACTAAAATATGTATATGAGAGGGTAAAGAGGGATAGATGGCAATGGAAAAAATAAAGAAAAAAATATGTATATGAGTAGTAGCAGCATTGACTACAACTCTGATCCTATATGCATATGCAACATTTCCGTAGAAAATGAGCATTACAATATGAGAATTTTTTTTTTAAATGTGACCATCTTAAGAAAAGCCTGGGCATTTTCTTTAAAAAGATATCATGGGCTTTTTTCTAAAATTAATCTGGAATCATCAAAAAAGGATTTTTGACCTTAGTGAAATTGCACTTAATAATTTTATTTAAATGGTTTTGGCCATTCAGTATAAAGAAGAAAACATTTTCTAAGGCTGCTTCTTTGGTACTTACCTATTCTTGACCACCTTTTGAGTTTCTAATAAAGAGAATAAAATTATACATATACATACACATAATTTTAGAAAACACTATCAATTCCAAAGTGGGATACCTATTAATTTTTCATTTTGGTGTTATTCTCAACCTCTCTCCCTCCAATCCCCCCCAAAAATGTACACAAACTAATGCTAAGTTTGGCAGTATTCTGCCTGGTTATAAGACCATTATTTTTGAATTTATTTTAATGTTTTTCTTGAGTTTAGGGAGAGAGGAAAGAAGTGGGAAAGAGAGAGAAACATCGATGAGACAGAAAAACATCAATCTGTTGCCTTCTGCACACACCCCAGCCAGAGATTCAAACCAGCAACTTGGGCACATGCCCTGACGGGGAATCAAACCAGAGACCCCCCAGCTCAGGAGACAACAGTCCAACCAGCAAAACCTCCTGGCCAGGGCTCACAGGGAATCTTTTTAAAACGCACAGATTTTGATCCACACCCCACGTATTCTGAGTAGAGTTCCATGAACGCCTATATCTCAGAAACTCCAGCGGATCCCAACGCAGACTGCCTCTCCCATCGGCCTTGCTGGTAAGTGGAGGAGACGGAGACCGTTTAAGAAAATTGCAGAGCATGGAACGTGTAGTGGAAAAGTGGCCTGGTTCATGGCATTGTGGGTCATTTCATTCTGATCAACAGAAAACCCAAGTCCTAGTACAAAGGACTTCAAACCACGTTTGTTGACGCTGGCAGGGATCCAAATAAACTAATATTGTGGCGAGATAGTTTTGCGGTATTTGCTTCCTTTTTTAGGAACATTTTAATGTCACTAGGATTTAGCGCCGGCAGATTAAAAATAATCAAAGTTTTTAAAAAAAATCTCCTAGGATGAAAAGAAAAAGTTAGTAGTGGAGATTTTAGAAACTTACAGAGGATGTCCTGTCCACCTCACAGCGGCTGCTCAGAATGAAACAGGCCTCGGCATCATCCATCCTGGGTGCAGACAGAAAAACAAACTGAGCACACACCGAACACCTGTGTCCCACCTGGAACACGGAGGTGCATGCTTAGTCCCACGCACACAAACAGTCCGCTCCGACAGGAGAGTTGCATTTCAAGACCGTGACTGTATTTGACTATGAATAAAATAGTTGCTGAATGGGCTCGATAACTCAGTCGTTTATAATGAGGGAGGTAAAAAAAAAAGTTACATTTTATTCTCTGTAATAATGGTGTATTGTTTCATAGACAGCAGGGTCCTTGAATAACACTGTTTCGTTCAGTGTCATCTCGTTATAACGTTGATAAGATGTCACAGGAACTTAACTCTCGTTCGAATCCAGTTGCCTGTGGTAAAAACTGGTTTGGGGTACATCTTACAACTCAAGGACAGCGATGAAGACGTATTTAAAGCCCTAAAAGCAACAGAAAACACCAAAAGCGGCCTCGGCTAGGGATTTCATGTGGCTTCTGAGATGATGGGTGTTGTTATTTCGCAGATGCCCTGACCCCCCGTATCTCCCTCTCCCTCTGCCCATGTGAGATAATCCCCGCGATGCTGACAGATGTGTAAGACCATGTCGCCTTAAACAGGGGTGGCCGGTCCATGCACAACAGGGAGAGAGTGACTGAGACCTGTCAGCTTTCGGGCTCCTCCAGCCCCCCAGGGACTCTTGTCTTTCTTTCTGACACCAGGCAACACAAGTGTTTTCTTGTGTGTGTGTGTGTGTGTGTGTGTGTGTGTGAGAGAGAGAGAGAGAGAGAGAGAGAGATGCCATTGAGTTAGCTTCGACTGCGGGCCACCCCATGAACGGGTGACGTCCAGAGTGACGTCCAGTGTCCCGTCCTCACAGCCCCTGTGGACTCAGCCCACAGTTTCTCCCACGGAGTCGTCCATCTCCCAGCTGGTCTTCCTCTTGCCCCTGTGCCTTGTTTTGCCCCAGCATTGTTACCTTTTCCAGAGACCCCTGCCTTTTCATGATGTGCCTGAAACAGGACAGCTTCAGTGTGGTCACTTTTGACTCTAGTGATGTTTCAGACTGAGTTTGCTGTGGGACCCACTTACCCGTCTCCATGGCCGTGGACGGATGTCTACGGGTGTCCCTAGAGCTCTCCTCCTACACTGCATTTCGAGTGCATCATTCCCTCCCCATCAGCCTTCTTCACTTCCTGCTCTGCCCAATACATAATACAAGTCCTTTAACATTTAAACTAGCCCAGCTGGTGTGGCTCGGTGGTTGAGCATCGACCCTTGCACCAAGGGGTGGCTGGTTCAATTCCCGGTCAGGGCACATGCCCAGGTTGTGGGCTGATCCCCAGTGGGGGGCACACAGGAGGCGGCCAATCGATGTTCTCTCTCATCGATGTCTCTATCTCTCTCTCCCTCTTTCTTCCCCTCTCTCTAAAATCAATAAAGAAAAAAATAATAATAAAAGACATTTAAACTAGCATTCCATGTAACATGTAGCCCAGGATTCTTACTTGTGGAATACAACAGTATTCAGGGACTTGGAGATGCGTCTCGGGGTGAGTCCGGACACCAGCTCATCTGTGACAACCTGGGACCATCACCCCACACCACCCTCCTTCTGCTGTGTGGACACCATCTGCTGACCGTCTCTGCCCCGAGAAACAGGGGCAAATGCACTGATTTTATATTTCTAGCCTTCCCACGGTACGGTGCTGGGACTCAGGCAAACGTCTGTATTGGAAAAGTCCTCAAACGTATCAGGCGACACTGCACAGGGCTAACCCTGAGGAGGGGAGGCTACCCAGGGCTGTGGATGGAAAATGGGGTGGGGGAGGGCACCTACTTGGCTCTCAACAGGTCCTGATCTTTCAGGGCGGAGCCTTGAAGGTAGATGACCCTCTGTGACCACATGGGGATCTGTAGGACCCTCCGAACTTGCACGTCCATTTCCGTCGGACATAGGATCACCACGTAGTAATCCTGTTCAGAACAGAGGCGACGGGGTGGGAACAAGAACACTCTCTTTTACAGGTGCACAGAATGTCTCAGAACAGCCTGGAAGGTGAACACAGGCAGTGAACTCTCGCTAAGGATGGAATCCTGCCTTTGGAACCTGGGCACGCATCGCGTCGCGGGAGCCTGCGAGACATGTAACTGAGACGTGTGCATCTCACGGGTCTATACGTGCGTCCTGGCCTCTCCAGCCGTATCAGTACCGTGCAGAGGCTCGGTGCTGCTACTGAGCACGCATTTCCAGTCTCGAGCTTTCGACGTCGGGCTGATTCTAAACTATGCCTGTCCTGCCAAAGCACTGGAGTAGCGACTCGTACTGCAGAGACTTGCTCTTAGGATAAAAACGGTGATAGCGATGTCTGTCCTTTGGTAATAGGATGAACCAATAATATTGAAAAGTTTCTGATATCTGAATGGATATGGATTTGTAAAAATATTGATACTACAAAGTCATTAAAGAGTTTAAGATAAAAATATTTCAAAATAATGGTTCTTTGGAGAAAATATAAAGGCACTACTTGTGATGAAATGGTTAAACGCAACTGATCTCTAGGGTTTACAGTTCTCTGGGAAACCGTCATTATTTTATGACTCTAAAATATATCTAAAGAAATTTTTTAGAGCTTTAAGAATTTTCCATAATGATATTAGAATAATATCAATAAATTACCAGAGATCAGAATTTTCTTCCAAATAGATTTTCTTTATATGTTATAATGAGCAAACCTGAAATTATTTAATATGAAAATAAAACACCCAACAGATAAATAGGGAGTTTCTCCAAAAAATTTAAATTAATTTTTATAAAAACAAAGGAATGTATTGTATAATTTAGATATTACTTATAAGTATGATTTTTTAATATGAAAATTTTATTTTAAAAGTTCTTCAAAGTATTCATGAAAAAAATCTATTTCAGGGAGAAATATTTAGATATACTCAGTACTGTTTTGATCTCAGAATTGTCCAACCTTGTGCCACAAATTTGTTGAAGTAAAACAAGACATTCAGGTAGTTTTTGTTATTTGGACTGAACTAATCTTTAAGAAGCAAATATTACCTTACTTTACACTGGCCCAGTATTGTGGCAAGTATAAAAAGTATCTGAGCATTTTATCTGCATAGACAAATAAAGAGATTTTTCTGAATTCATGTCCTTAATGTAATGAGTCATTGTCTAATTTTTGGTTATTTATTACTACTATAAATAGGACCTAGTTTCACTCCAGGAAACAAAAGAATAAAACAGAACTTCCAGACTTTCATGTTTCCATCAGCGACACTTGATAAGTTCAAGGTAGCAGATAGAATTGAAATGATCTGTTCATTGATTTATTATAGTTTATGTTCAGTTCTGCTGTTCCATAAGAATATTATTTATGCATTATCCAAGGGAGAAAAATATCAATCATGTCGATTCAAAGAAAACCTTTCCTGGTAGCATTAACATAATTCCATCTGTCTCTCAGTATACATGCAGAAGGAAATAAAATACTGTGTATTCCTGCAGCATTTTGTCTGTGTTCCTGGTTCTATTTGCAGTTCTTCATTTACACTTTCTAAATCTGACTGTGTAAAAAAAGGGCCTCCGGAAGGCAGGATACACCATCCTCCCGTTGACTTTGACAATGTGTTAGTAGGTAAGACCCAGTCCAACGCCTAACGCAATGGAAAGGTACCTGCAGTCTTGGGTGAGCATAGAATTCATTCAAAAAGTCCATGAGCAGGTCAATCTTCAGTGAGCTGACACACAGGACGACGTGCTTTTCCGTCTGAGCCCTGTGGCGGCTGTAGTTGCCACCTGACTTCTGTCTCTCCATCCACAAGTAGGCCAGCTGCTCAAACTGGAGCGCGTTTTCCACATGTGAAGGAAAAACACGAACATGGAAATAAAAAGCATGCGTTCCATCCGTTGCTCAGAGGGACTCCGGTTCTTAGATCGAACCCAACCAGATCCCAGTGACCAGGTTCCCTTCAACAACAGACTTTCAGGTTTGCTGCACAGGTGGTGACTGCCCCCCAGAGGCTTGGGGTCTCAAAGGAAACGTGCTTGTGTGATTTTCCTAAGGTATCACACCAGGGCACTAGAGAGGGCAGTGCCCATGCTAATCCAGTAGAGTATGCAGCCGTGATGTCTCCCGGTCTGGGTCAAAGGGAGAAGTCTCATGCAATGAGATACCCTCACCCCACAAACACAGAAGGCCCTATTCTAGTTGCATAGTGGCTGGTATGCCAGGGAAGGGGAGGGTGTTGGTGTGGGACGTTGGGGAGGAACACATGCATGATGGGAAGTCTTCACACTTTCCTATAACATTGATCATGGTTGTATTTACCTGGATGGGTAGAACCACCAGGGCCACACAGATCATAGCAACGACAAAAAGCTTGGAGGACCACGTTTCAGGAGTGACATCCCCAAAGCCCACGGTAGAAAAGGTCACGATGCAGAAATACAGGGAGTCAAAGAGATTCAGCTTCTTTCCTATGCGTTCCAGATGTTGGATTCCACAGATGCTGAAGACACAAAGGTGCGTGTCAATGAAAACTTTCAGACTGGACACGCTACTTCTCATCCTTGCTTGTTGGGAAGCCGAAGCACTCCCCCAGAAAGCCATTTACGGGTTGCGATATGACATCATGCATTTTTTTTCCTTAGGAAAATATAATGTTTAAATTTGTTTTCTAGATTAACCAGATATAGTATTATTTTGAAGTAAAAAGTGTATCTTCAGGATAGGTAGATACATCGTTTATTGCTACTCTAGTACATAATTCTTGAGGCTAAAATGGGTTAAGCACTGAAATACCCTTGATTTGCATCATGCAGAAATGTTACTTCACTTATGTATTAGCTATTTTTCCTAGAACTGTGACTGCTACAATATGCCAAAAAAAGATTTGAAGCTATTTCATGATGATAGTCCATTTTAATATAGATTGCTATCTTACTTCATCCACAGATGTCCTTGGAGTCATTATTAAATGAAAACTGCCTCTTCTCCCTGGCCATAATTGATGAATTGCAGTTAATTATTATTTTGTGTCTGTACCCAGAAGTGATTTTAATGATGGGCACAGATTTTCTGATAAACCAAAGCCAAAAATGTGCTCAAATAGAGCACATTCATCCTCAAAATATCCTATTTTGTCTTGTCTTGAAAGAGACACATTTTTTTCAAAACACCAAGTTAAACTATTTAAATTATAACCTGAATTGAAAGTAGCAGAAAAATTTAATAATGTAGAATTTAAAAATAAATAATCATAGCTTTGAATATTAGTAAATGTACTATTATCTTAAAATGTTATACTAATAGAATTTAATATTGTTTTGGGACTGGGCAGTAATATATTTTTTTAAAGCTTACTTAAAATGTTTGATTTTAGTGGACATCTAATGGTAACAATATTTGTGTTGATTATCCTATAACCCCTGCCTACACATTTGAAATTAAATAATTTACTGCCATGTAAGATAGAAAAAATAAACCAATATTACTTCGTGTTCTACTGAACATTCTATTTAGTTAATAGGCATAAAAGTCACCGAGATGCATGTCTAGTGGTTGACTTTGAAGTGGAAGTAGGAAATCAGTATAATTTTCTTATAATTCCTCTATTGTAAAAATACCTGTAAATTTCAAGTAAGAAAAAAAAATGTTTGATTTAAAACCGATAGGTGCTAAACATTTTCACCCAAATATTTCATGATGGAAAAGGAGCAACCTAATATGGTAAAGAAAAGTCATACTTATTCAAATACATTTCCTGATGGTCTAATAGTACCAAGCACTGTGCTATATATATTGGAGAAGCATATATGAGTGTTGACTCTAGTCTACAGCTAAAGTAAATGATTTTGCCTTTATACTACTACTGCTAATAGTAACATCATAAATTAATAATGAGGCATTTAATGTAAAACTGGGATAACTTGGGAAATTACTTAAGCTTTTTTACCCTTCCTGCTCCTCAACTGAAAATTAGATTAACTACTAACTTCTTCATTTGCTTATCGTGGTAACACACAATGGAATGTCTGACACACAAGAACACTCAATGAATTCAGTAGCGATTGTTTATATCCCAGCCCCTGCATCAAAGAAACAGAGCACAAAAATGAGTCGGATATAAGGATCAAACATCTACACAAAAATATTAGAAAGCCTTTGTTTTTCAACTTGACAACAGACCCAGGGACTGGAGAAAGAGCAGAGATGAGGAAGGAGCCTATCGATTCCTCTTGGCTGTGGATGGACGAACAGTGATAGAGAGCAGAAAATTAGCCCTGGGTTGATGAGTAGCTTCATCAACCACGAGGCAAGTAGTCCTTGCCTAGTCTTTTCTCAAGCCTGCAACTCTCAACCGTTATGGGAGTGGACGTGCAGGCAGGCTTAGAAGAATCCGCAAGGAAGTGTTATGCAATGTGCCATGCAAACCCATAATCATCCACTGTTTACAAAGTCCCTACATGCTGATGTTGGTTGACCTTTGGAGGGTTCGCTGTCATCATTTACGGAAACTCACAACTCATTCTTGGTAAGGTAGTGCAGAGAAAAAAGAATTAAGTTCTATTTCCTGGCCACATTGTCACTATCAGGCCAGTGACTTGTTTTAAAAAGAGCCACTTATCTCTTGTACTTATATAAAAGACTGCATATATGTATATTATATATGTATATACTTATAGTTTATGTAGTTCACTGACCTAGGTAACAAGTAGATAATATTTTAAGATTTAAATGTTAACATCATAATATTTGGGGGGGAGTTGAAAATCCCAATAGAATTTTGTCTTTGTATATTATTTTGCTCATATGCTCATACTTTATTATTTAAATAGGTGTTTAATTTTATGGACTGTTCAGATTTTTATTTCTGTAACAATTAAATATATCTACTTTGTAGGCATTCTGTACATTTTTGGGACGCAGAGAATTCCTTCCATGCACATACTTATGTTCTTTTTTTGCATAATTGTGGTTGACATTCACAATATTGAGCATAGAGTGGACTTGGAACACTATTTCACGTAGCCATTTCTGCCTTAAGGTGGTCTTGTTTTATCTGAATCCCCCTTGTGACAATAAACATTGTCACAGAATAAAAAACCTTTAGAAATTTTATAGCCTGATACTTCGGCAAGTCTCCCTACATCAACGTGAACATGCGTGTAAACCATACGGACCAGAGGACAAGATGCCAAGTAGTCAAATACATTCTCAAGTGCATGCTCAGAACCGGATTATCGCCAACATACGCTAGAAACATTGAGAAATGTCCTGGAGAACTTCAAATCATCTCATGCAAACAACAGGAATAAGAGATTGACTATATAACTAGAACCACATAGAACAAATACAGCAGCTTGTGAGAGGTCTAACGTTTTCCACCAATATTTGTTGATCTTTCAGTATGACCTCAGGTATCAGGAGAGAAAAGCAACAACATATAATGACTTAAGGTCAAGTCAGTAATCTTAGGAACATTCTGCTGGGGGTCAGGAGTAAGAATTATTTCCTGTTTGGATAGGTTGAGTCTACCATTTCTGTCAGGGACAGACGTCCAATCCACTGCAATGATGTATTTTAAATATACACATGTCTGTGATAACCGTTCCCACACTCCTTGTGCAAACCCCCTTGATGGCAATTTTGTTACAGTTCTAATATTTTCAATTCCACACACATAGTAAAATGCATGTAGTACAAGGCAAATAATCAATATATAAATGAGAAGTAATTAATATCAACCCACTCCTATCTATCTCTGAGGTAATTACCACGTAGCATGTACTCTTTTGCTTGCTTGATATTTGTTTTGTTTTTCATGAAAACGTACTTTTCATTTTGGTTGGTAGTTTATCACTCTAAGATTTTTATATCCATCTTTTTAAAAGGATGCTGGTCTCTAGCTCTATATCTCAATATGTGTTCCGTGAAAAAGCCCATTTGACGGAAAACGTTAAGCAGACACAAGGTTCCGCCGTCGACTGTGTTTGGCAACTCTGGGTGAAGCATATTTTATTTAGCAAAGGCTTCTCAGATCTTTTTTAATGAGTTAATGTTTATTACAACTCTGAGAGTGGAATTTTTATAGGGCCAACTAAACGTATCTGCCAACATTCTCAGTGTCTTAGACGATTAGGGTTTTATGAACTGCACTGTGAGATACTTGGTGCTTTGTCTAAATATGTTAGAATCACGGTTTAGCTTAATCATTAAATGATGTGGAGAACATTTTACCTTTGGCCATACCTGAGCGTCCACTGCCCTAGATTAACTGTTCCCTGAAGAATTGTAACAGTAAAACTCTCACGTCCTGAAGTTTTAATTTTTTTTTAATGGAGATGAAAGATATAATATTAACATGCTATGTGTTAAAGGTGCTCTATCTCTACCCTTAATCTTAATTTAATATTGCTTAAAAACCCATAAATATGCCTTTGGAATGACCTCTATTCCATCCATAGATTCGCAGCCATCATTAAGCCTCATCATTCTTTGGTCTTTACGGACTTCCTACAGATCTGAACTCTGAACACATTTACCCAAGTACAGTTTACAAAGCCAGGCCCACCGAAGGCATACTGAGTCCTGGCTGAGCGTAGAGGCAGCTTCTCCTCCCTGCTCACAAAGAACCTAAGGGAACAGAACACATTTTTTCATAAGCACTGCAATTATTTAAAATGTGGATCACCAAATTGAGCGCGCCATATGGAAAGACAGACTCCAAATTCTATCTCGTTTTTAAAAACATTTAATTCTACTTTTTTTTGTTTGTTTGTTAACTGGAACACTGTCAAATCGCACTAAAGATCACTTTCGTTAAAGAAACTATGCTAACACCTGCAAAAATCATAACCATGTTAATTAAAAAAGGATTATGGCCCCTTTTGCACGAAATGCATAGAGCCATAATATCTATCGTGGGAATAATTTACCTTCTAATTATCCTTAGAAATAAAAGGGCTAATATAAAGTGAAATGTGTTTCTTCAGTCTCATTTTAACAAAGTATTCTTCCACTTAGAGGAGCTAATGTCCTAATTTATAGAATTTTTATTTTATTTTATTTTTTTTATCCTCACTCAAGAACATTTTTCGATATTTTGTTCAGATAGAGTGGGAGGGAGAGAGAGAGAAACATCGACATGAAAGGGACACATCGAGTGGCTGCCACCCGCACGACCCAACCAGGGCCGGGGACAAATTGCAACCGAGGTACGTGCCCTTAGCGGGAACCAAACCCAGGTCTTTCCAGACCGCAGGCCAACACTCTAACCACTGAGCAAAACCAGCCAGGGCCTAATTTATAGAATTTAAAAACCACTTTTTTATTCTTTCACTCACCTAGTGAAAAAGTGACCACCAAGTCTGAGATAGACATTATCTAAGGCGGCACCAATATTCACAGAGTGGTACGTGTCCTTTCTCATATCAAATATTTCCATTCAAGAGACTCCACGTTGTCCCTTGCCAGTTCTAGAGAATATATTTCTTTTAACAAAATGAT